GTTTGAGGACATTGGGACTTTATTATCGTCTCGTTTGAGGACATTGAGACTTTATTATCGTCTCGTTTGAGGACATTAGGACTTTATTGTCGTCTCGTTTGAGGACATTGGGACTTTATTGTCGTCTCGTTTGAGGACATTAGGACTTTATTGTCGTCTCGTTTGAGGACACTGGGAGTTGAGTTGAATAGTGAAGCTCAACTTTTCAAACCCAGGCAAGAAGCTCTTAAAGTGCTCAGATTGATGTAAAGTTTAAACAGCTGCATGACAACTGAGCAAACGCCATCTGCTGATGAGGATCATTAGATACGGTCCAACGCTGCTGTTTCCAAGAATAAATTGTGAAGCTTAGCTGAAAAAAACCCCCAAATGTTGACCATCATTATACATCATCACTAGACCTTCAAAACTCCAGGCTAAAAATAAGTGGTTCTGCCACATGGGTGTGCTGTTTGATTTCACATTTCACAGTGTCAGGTGAGGCTGCCTGAACATCTCTGCTGACCTCCAGTTAGCGCTGGACCCTGACAGCTGGAGACTTTGTGTCAACTGGTTTGTGCTTCTTTAGTTAAAAGTTTGATTGGGAATATGCAACATTAGAGCACTATGAAAACTGACACAGTGAGGACTGTGAGGTGGGTCCAGATGTATGACAAGAGGGTTTCTGTGTGTGTCCAAATCTACTTTTCAAACCTTTATATTTTTGGTATGGTGCTTTTATGTTGTATACTCCTAAATTAACTGGTGTTTAATCCACATGCAGGTTGTTCTAACATGCTTACAGTGAGCAAACACTTCTGTTAGAGCTTAAAGACCTCTGAGTAATTATGCCACACATTAATTGTGACCTTCCAGAGTATTTATAAAATAAGAAATGAGTGTTTGTCCTTGGTGACACTGGGGACGCACACTGTGTTTGATCATGTCCATGATGTGAGTGTGTGACTCATACACAGTGACTCACAGTGCACAGTTTTTACTCTCACGGCTGCAGCACAGCCCCCTCCTCTGTTTACACCAGCACAGATGATACAGTGCTGCCCATTAAAAAAAGAAACAACCGTATGTGGGCGATCCAGGCTGCTTCTGATCAAAGTGACGTCCATCGCTTTAAGAAAAGTGTTTTCACATAGAGTTTATTGTTTGATGTTGTTTCAGAGCTGAGCCTGTGGTGTCTGCACAGTTTGTCCCAGGAAACTGCAATTAAATCTCCTGTGAGTGATGGTTTCATATGTGTGTGTAACTGTACCTACGGTGTGTGTGCAGTGATGCTGCCTCAGTTGTTGCTACGCTACTGTACGAAGACAAATGCACGTAATAACAAATCACTGGAACAGTTTAGTGCAACTCATATAGATACATATACTGACTGATTTTATTATCATTATTCATTAATTTCTGTAACTGCTTATCCTGTTAGGGGTCACAGGGGCTGGAGCCTATCCCAGCTGACACTGGGTGAGAGGCAGGATTCACCCTGGACAGGTCACCAGACTATCACAGGGCTGACACATAGAGACAGACAACCATTCACACTCACATTCACACCTACGGACAATTTAGAGTCACCAATTAACCTGCATGTCTTTGGACTGTGGGAGGAAGCAGGAGCACCTGGAGGAAACCCACGCTGACATGAGGAGAACATGCAAACTCTGCACAGAAGGGCTCGCCCACCCTGAGGTTTGAACCAGGAACCCTCTTGCTATGAGCATTAATAATTTATTCTTAATGCACTAACAGTCTTCTAATAGTGAGACCAACATACGGAAATCTCCGGTGCTTACTTTCAGAATAAAGCGACCATGCTGACACAATCACAAATGAACTAAGTGAAATAATCACATTTATTACTGATAATTATAATATGGAATTTATTGTAAACATATTGATTATTTATGGTCAGTTTCACAAATAAAAATGGAAAATATCAAAACTTATCTCCACTGTCACTGGATTTTATGTTAACTGGGAACAAAAAAGAATTTTTTCTTTTTAGATAAAAATTGAAAGAAAAAAAACATATTTAAATATTTCTTTTCTTTTTCTCTGGCCTGTTTTTGGAAGAGCGCAGTCTCTCATGCTGTGTTTCAGGTCTGCCCTCTGAGCGCCTGAATCACCCACAGCTGACCTGCACCTGGTCATCAGTCAAAATCTTTATGAACATCATTAGGATTGTTTAATGAAAAGTTATGTTCCAGTTATTGTGAGCTTTTTGTTTATTATTTTGGCCATAGAGACCCTGACACCTTATTTGCTTCCTTTTGTTAAATGTTAATTGGTTTAGCTCTGTTAATCATTTTACTGTAAGTAATGTTCACTGTCAGTGTTCCAGCAGCCTTTCCCTGTTGTTCTGGTTCATTTGCGAAGGTGGGTAAACTGGTCATGTCACTTCCTGTGTTACTGTAGAAACTGAGTAAAGGCTCTAACACTAGTCACAGTGAGGGACTATAACTCCATGCTCTCAGTGGGAATAAAACAGATGTTTATATTGATTATAATTCTTTCATGGTAGCGCTAATTTCAATACTATCCAACATGCCACTCATAAGAAACTGGAAATGTCGGCGTGGCGTTCATCCAATAGGTTTAAATGTCACAGACGTCACATCATCACTGTCAAACTGATAAACATAAGCTGGAAACACAAAATGATTCTATGCAATTCAGATGATAGTCACTGTCTGTAGAGTCGTGTTTCCTCTGCAAAAATTCAACCGTGTCTTTCACTGTGAGACACATGCTGGATATCTCTCTTAAAGCTGGGGTAGGAAGTTTTAAATTGGTGTCACTGGGGAAAAAGTCCTGCCTACTGTGATTCAAATGGTCTGACAGAAAACTAGATTTCTGCACCACCTCTTCAGACTCTGACAAAAAAGCTATCTTTTGATGTCAGAATGATACATGGCTGGTTGCTGTTACTAGCCATGTTTCCATCAGCCTGTTTAGATGCGCATCTAGAAGTATCGCATCGGAAAATTATGATGGAAACGCCAAAATTCGAATTAAAATCCCCTGATTAGCACAAACTAAAATACGCTCGCTTTAGCCGGGTTTTGGTTGATTCGAAAAAATGTTGATTCGCAAAACGGGGGATGGAAACAGTTATGTTCGAATTAAGTCTGACGTAGCGCACCTCTCTCCATGGTGATATCCACACTCCGGGTCGGGAAGGCGGTAATGCATTTACAAGCTGGTTGCCAACTGCCAGAAAACATAGAAGAAGAAGAATGCGAGACTTGTTTTGTTTCCGGTTCTGCGGAAAACTCGCGCGAGTTCGTAGTTTTCACCAAAGTCCATACATTTAATGGAAACACACAGGATTCATATTTCTTTTAATGCACATTTCCCAATGATTCGAATCACTTTTGGATGGAAACGTAACAATAGTTTATAGGCACTCAGTGGCGTCAGCGAGACATGAACGAAAGTTCGAGTGACCAAAGTCCGAGTAGAGTGGGCTGGAGCTAACAAACACAGACTTTCACCCGGAAGAGCGGTGTTTGCGTCCCGTAAGATTCTAAAGTCAAACCCTGTTCCTGTTTTCCCTGTTTTCCTAAACCTAACCACGTGCGTTAGTTGTTGAAGGAAAAAAAAAACGTCAGTTCGCAGTGTTGTCATGACATAGTGCTTTTATTTTGAAAGACACTGTATGTAAACGTTAAATTTCCTGTGAAAACAGAAGTGTATTTTGAAAGACGACAATGCATGTAACAGGCAGAACTTGACACGGCGTCCCAGAACAACCAACACACCCAGGGTACCTTTGACGTCGTATGTGGACGTGGACGCCTTGATGTCACTCCTATGTGTTTTCAGTTTGCAAAATAAGTTTGAGTCATTTACAAAAAGTTTTAGAAAAAAACCCTCAATCTTTAATTCTTCAATTTCTCACTGTTACACCTCAGCAATTTCCTAATTCTCCAAAATATTGAGGCAGTAATCCAGCTGGTCACGTGACAGGGAGGCAGTGTGACAGGTTGGAGTTTCAAATCGCTTCTGACTTGAGTTGAATCCACAACGACACATATAGCGTATTTTATACTGCTGGCAGAGATGTGCATCCCCTCCCACCACCTTTCACCTTATTTCCCACCTCTCCACCTTCACCCCTCACATCCTCTCTCTGTTGTTTCTCCCTCTCACAGCTCTCAGTGACATGCACTCACACAGAGAGCTCTCATTTACTGCCCCTGGAGACAGCAGAGACTCAACACAAACTGCTGTAGAGGTCTGAGCGGCTCTTCACATACATGCACACAACCATAAAGTGCACGCTCAAAGCCTGAGCCTGGGATTATTAAACACTTCAGAAGCTGTAAAGAAGAAAAAAGAAAAGCACAAAGTCTTTAATTGGCCGAGCATTTCGAGAGCGATATCACCTTTGCAGGGACTGTTAAATGTCTCAGCCAAACGCCTCACACAAGAACAAGCCGCTTTTTCCACAAGCATCCAATTAGAGAGGGGTTGGCAGTGACTTGTCTATATTCACAGTATGTAGCCTCCTGATTAGTATCCTCAGCCTGCAAATTAAATACAGTGGAGAGTGTTGCAGGTCTGTTAATCTGCAACCAGCTGTGACGGCCTTTATCAGCTGCCACGAGGATGGAAACACGAGCAGACCACAACACTGCAGGAGAACAGGCTCAGGGAAACGCTGTGTGGACGTTAGTAACAGACTGTGAGTGTTATTGAACTTAAATTTATGTCTTTAACAAGGTAAAATAAATATTGAAGAAAGAGGGAAACACATGCACATCAAGCATGTCCTTAATTTCTTTTAACAATGAGCATTCTTTGCATAAAATGATCTACAAGCCAAATTAAAGACAGTGTTTTTGCTGTTGGGGGCGCTGCATCTCTCAGTCCGCTGTATGACTCATCTGCGGCTGCAGTGTGTGTGTTGTTGTGTGTGTGAGACGTGAAGGAAGCAGCTGAGGTAAGTTATGTGGAACTGAAACCATCTGGTTTTCTCCTCACCACAGTGAACAACAATAACCCCCAACAACCACACACACATCTCATCCCGTCATCATGGCAGTAACACACAGGATGCTCTTTGGAGTAAGTTGGATATTTACGACCCAAACCACGGATACGTTATATTTATACATTATTATGGAGCAGATACAGTCAGTTTTGTTTCTTTATGTTTCAACAACGCTGTGGTTAATGTGTGGTTAGGTTTGAGCACAAAAAACACTTGGTTATGGTCAGAAAAATATCGTGTTTTAGTTTAAAATACCCGCTTTTGTTTCTTATACATCTGAAGAACTGCTTGGCAGCCAGACCAGGCCTCTAATTGAGGCAGGCCTTTATTTGTAAAAATGTGTAGCCACACTGGGCTTTAAATTGGGACTAGGCTTTTAATTTAAGTTTTCCGGTTGTATATATTTACTATCTGTTAATTCTAATATGGTCTATTTATGCAAGTGTGTAAGTTTCATTGACCTACATATCAAGTGGTTAAAGACAGAAGCACCTTGAAAAGTGAAGAGCATTAAAAGTCTTTATTTTAACAGCATTGCAGAGATGATACATTCTACAGTCATAGTCACACAAAATAATGGATTATTTTTGACCATATACGCTCATCAGCCACTTTATTAGGTACACTGTGCTAGTTCCAGGTTGGACCCCCTTTTTAATTCTTGGTGTCACAGATTCAACAAGGTGCTGGAAACATTGCTCAGAGATTTTGGTCCATATTGACATGATGACATCACACAGTTGATCCATGATGAGAATCTCCCGTTCCAGCACATCCCAAAGGTGCTCTATTGGACTGAGATCTAGTGACTGTGGAGGCCATTGGAGTACAGTGAACTCATTGTCATGTTTGAGATGATGTGAGCTTTGTGACATGGTGCGTTATCCTGCTGGAAGTAGCCATCAGAAGATGGGTACACTGTGGTCATAAAGGGATGGACACGCTCAGCAACAATACTCAGGTAGGCTGTGGTGTTTAAACCATGCTCAGTTGGTACTAAGAAAATCTCACCCACACCATTACACCACCAGCAGCAGCCTGAAGCGTTGATACAAGGCAGGATGGATCCATGCTTCCATCTGAATGTGGTTTTTCCAATCTTCTATTGTCCAGTTTTGGTGAGAAAACCCGTGTGAATTGTAGCCTCAGTTTCCTGTTGTTAGCTGACAGGAGTGGCACCTGGTGTGGTCTTCTGCTGCTGTAGCCCATCTGCTTCAAGGTTGGACAAGGTGTTGTTGCTTCAGAGATGCTCTTCTGCACACCTTGGTTGGAACCAGTGCTTATTTGACTTCCTGTTGCCTTTCTATCATCTTGAACCAGTCTGGCCATTCTCCTCTGACCTCTGGCATCAACAAGGCATTTTGGCTCACTGGATATTTTCTCTTTTTGGGACCATCCTCTGTAAACCCTAGAGATGGTTGTGCTGAAAATCCCAATAAATACTCAGACCAGCCCGTCTGGCACCAACAACCATGCCACGTTCAAAGTCACTTCAATCACCTGTCTTCATCATTCTGATGCTCAGTTTGAACTTCAGCAGCTCGTCTTCACCATGTCTACATGACTAAATGTGATGAATTGCTGCCACGTGATTGGCTGATTAGCTATTTGTGTTAATGAGCAGTTGAACAGGTGTACCTAATAAAGTGGCCAGTGAGTGTATGTGAAAATCTTTTAATAAAACACTGACTGAAAGGCCTATCATTAAAACACTAACTACACTCAGATCAGACAAAGACTTTGGTTTAAGTTGTCACTGAGTAGCAAATGAACAATATTTCATTGCAGTATAAAAACTTTCTGCATAAATCTGCATCACATTTGTTCAGCTCTGTTCAAGTACAGGGTTCTGCATTTTCGTTTTATTTATAAAACTGTAATCTTATATTAACTCAATACACTGCTGCTGCTAACTGGACCTTTTATGGACCAAACATTAACTGAAAGATGAAAGAAGATGAAAAAAAAAAAAAAAGCTGCAGTCTGAACAATGTTATTATAATACGTCGCTACAACTCTACAGCAGGTGTAGTTTCTTCCCTCACAGATACTTACATCACAAATACAAAGTCGGAGCAGTTGTAATAATATCTAATGACCCTAATTGGACAGAAAGCATTATTAGTATAACTATAAGGCGGTCAGCTTCCTCTCTGCACGACATCGAACCACAGCATCTCACAGCAAATCACATAATATGTTATAATACACGTCTCTTACATTATATGCAAACGGGCATGATGAAGATTAATGCAGGTAATCTTTCTGAGAAGGGCACACACACACACACACACACACACACACACACACACACACACACACACAGTGTCCTGGTCAGTGTTACATGATGGAGCAGGTGAAGCCGCAGCAGTCCTTCAGCAGCGTGATTCCAGTTTTTGTGATGAACGGCGCCGATGTCTGCTGAGATTTGGACGCCACCCTCTGATCCTGCAACGTGCCTGATTGAAAAGAAGACATGACAGTTAACTCTTTATCGCCACAGCATGTTCGCACTCTCTGCTCAGCTCAGACACAAGAGGAAATGTTGGCACTGTACGTTTCTGCAAACCAGGAATACGTTACATTTGTACGTTTCATACGAATCATATCAGTGTTAATTGACGTACTATATGAGCTGACTTTGCTGTTGGGAGGTGGACAAGATGGTGGATGGCGTGACACTTAGGTGAGATGCCTGCCAAGCTGCAGACCACTGTTCAAGACCAAAAAACAAAACTGGTTGTTTTTTAGCGAGCTGGATAGTGCCATAAAAGTGAAGACACTGTTACGTCAGCCAGGATAGTGTGACATGCAGTTTGTTTTTCTTTAATTGAGACATCACTGCATTATCTGCTGGAACAGTGCAACGAAATGCGGTTGTTTTTTACCTAGACATTGCCGAGTTTCCTGCCAGGATAGCAAGACAAACTACAGTTGTTTTTTAATCAGGACATCACTGCATATCCTGCCAGGATAGTGCGACAAAATGTTTATTACTGAAACATCGCTGAGTTTCCTGCCAGGATAGAGTGATGAATCGCGATTTTTTTGTACTGAGACATCAGTGTGTTTCCTGCCGGGATAGTGCCACAAAATGCAGTTGTTTTTACCAAGACATAGCTACGTTCCCTTTCAGTTAAGAGCGACAAAATGTGGTTGGTTTTTTACCAGAACAACGCTACGTTTCCTGATGGGATAGCGCAACGAAATGCGGTTGTCTTTTACCACGACATCATTGCGTTTATTGCTGGTGTAGTGCGACAAAATGCAGTTGTTTTTTTACCGAGACATTGCTGCATTTCTTGCCAGGATAATGCAACGAAATGCAGTTGTTGTCGCTATGTTTCCTGCCAGTATAGTGCAACAAGTGTTTTTTTTATCAAGACATTGCTGCATTTCCTGCCAGGATAGCACAACGAAATGCGGTATACTTTGTACTGAGAAATCACTGTGTTCCCTGCACCGGGTTAGCGCGACAAAATTGGTTGGTTTTTAGCAAGACATCACTGTGTTTCCTGCCGGGATAGTGCAACGAAATGCAGTTGTCTTTTACCACGACATCATTGCATTTCCTGCTGGTGTAGCACAACAAAATGCAGTTGTTTTTTACCAAGACATCGCTGCATTTCTTGCCAGGATAATGCAGTGAAATGCGGTTGTTGTCGCTGCATTTCCTGCCGGGATAGCGCTACGAAATGCGGTTTACTTTTTACCGAGACATCACTGTGTTCCCTGCACTGGGATAGCGCAAAAAAATTGGTTAGTTTTTAGTAAGACATCACTGTGTTTCCTGCCGGGATAGAGCAACGAAATGCAGTTGTTTTTTACCAAGACATCGCTGCATTTCTTGCCAGGATAATGCAATGAAATGCGATTGTTGTCGCTGCATTTCCTGCCGGGATAGCGCTATGAAATGCGCTTTACTTTTTACTGAGACATCGCTGTGTTTCCTGCCAGTATAGTGCAATGAAATGCAGCTGTTTTTTACCGAGACATCGCCACATTTCTGAGTTATTGTATTACATTTATTTTGAGAGGTTGGTTTTGTATTTCCCTGTTTGAACATGACTGTTAGGGTCACTGTGGGGATAGTCATTGTTGTGGGACTGATGTATCATTACTATTGTTAGAGGGTGATTTTGGTTCCTACCTGTGGGGTGTGTCTGGAGGGACGTTAATGTTTGGGGACGGAAGTTCTCCAGTTCGCCATGTAAACAACTGACGTGCTTAATTTATGCTACTGCTGTTGCCGTTTTGGCCGGAATAAAAGAAAAGAAATTAAAGACAACTGTAGCCGATTATTACCCACAGCCCGTGAGACTGGAGTATTAAATCTTCAGGTTACACCAGGATAATGCAACGAAATGTGGTTGCTGTCGCTGTGTTTCCTGCCGGGATGCTGCCACCAAAACTGGGCAAAACTTAAGCCAAAGCATGATCTTTTCCTGACCACAAACAAGTGGTTTTTGCGTCTTAACCAATCCACTCATTAACGACAGCATTGTTGAAACATAAAGAAACATAAAGTTTCAACTTCTCTGCTACATAATGAACAAATGTAATGTATCCGTGTTTTGCTGAAACGTATGATACCAACATGTTATCTGGCAACTGGGCGGTGTACACAGAGACACCAGCTGCTCTTCTGTTGTGTTTCTTTCTAAGAAGCTGCTCAAGGAGTGTCTGTAGTATTAAGCACCTGGCTGTGACCAGCAGTAACTACAGGTGTCACCAAATCAACCAGGAGTGAAATGTTAAGGATTACTGAGGCAGGGATTAGAGGCTGTAGCAGAAAGGCTCAGCTCTGTGTGGATCACAAGTCCTGCGTCGGTCCATACAGCAGGTGAGAGGATTACAACTGAACTACCAGAAAGAGTCGACACCTTTCTTCATCCTCTTACACACAGGAGTCATGAGTGAGGAGAAATGTCAGCTGCAGAGATAACTGCAGTGTAAGATTCCTTTTTAATTGGGAGCTTACACCTGACAGCCTCATGGTTAGACTCACCTTTCGCAGCCAGTGTCTTGGGAAATTTGGACTGTAAGAAGGCGGCCATTTCTCTGTCCTCCTCTCTTTCCCTGTGGAGGAGAATATTTCTTTGGTTTTTAATCGTCAAGTGTGTGGTCGGAAGATTTTCTTCATCATGTTGAATGTCACGGGGCTGCATTTAAGAGAGTCCAAGGCTATGAGCTGAACTGAGAGGATGTTATTGTATGGCACATGGTGTGAATTCACAGCTTCATCTACACAATCCTCGCCTGGATCTGTTCTCACATAATGAAGGAAGATGGTAATCTCTCTCTCTCTCTCTCTCTCTGAGACCAATGAAAATGTCACTCAAACATATTTTTCAGCATTAACATCTGTCGTCTCATCAGCAGTGACAGGTAATGTAACACCATAAACAGAACACCTGAGAGATGGTGGGCTTCTTATCATTATTCAGTGTGACTATACACAGAGAGACAATGAGAACAGAGTGATGAAGATAAGACAACCCCTTTAAAAACTCACTAGATCAATAATCAGACATGGTGCAAATAACTACAGGTCAGTGGCTCTCAACCTTTTTCATGTCACAAACCCTTAAACTGATGCACATTAGGTCACAGACCCCCATTTGATAAGACTTTCCTTCCTCCATCTGAAAAGATTTTGGTTGTCAGACATGATTACAACCAGAATTCTACAGTTGAGACGACACACTCTCATCCCAGGTCGTCAAATAACGCTCTCTCACACCCCTCGTCACGTGATACTGCAACATATTCCCATAGAACGATTCATATGATATCCTACAAAACTGCACCCCAGGACAGACGTTACTTCCTAAACGTACAGCTCTGTAATTAACGTAAAGGTACGGAGGTTAGGGTTAGGAAAAGAAACATGGTGAGGACATACCTTAAAATGACTCAAAGTTCACATGGATGCAAACACGCAACTCAGGGGGAAAGTCCTGAGTGAAAGTCCAGTTCTTTGTGACCCAACCAACACACCAACCTTAGTCTTTACAGGTTCTCGAGTCTGCCTCTTTATTTACTACCGTCACGTGATCACTTCACACATCATGTTTTCAGTTAAAATAAGTTTGTAACGTGACCTAAAAACATCACGACTTAAGTATGTGGTGGATGGGTGTAAGTTTCAGTGCAGTAACGTAGGCAGCTGGACTTGCTTGAGTTTCTTGAAGCTGTTTCAAAGGGCATTCTTCCCAAATTGATTGGCAACATGTCGGTGAAGATTCTCAGTCATCCAGGTCATGGTAATCTTAAATGCTATATCGTAAGCAAGTGGACTTGCTTGAGTTTCTTGAAGAGTATCTGACTGAGGAAGCCTTTTGGATGAGAGGTGAAACATCTTCAAGATACTCAAGCAAGTCCAGTTGCCTACGAAATAGCACTTACAATTACCATGACCTGGATGACTGAGAATCTTCACAGACATGGAAGCAAGTTACATAACACTACATTAAAATGACACTGACATTTGGTTTCACCTGGAAAACAGACACCTCCTAGTATAGTAGGCCTATATAGTATAAGTGAAAGTCTGTTTGTTTGACCCATCTGCCTCCCTTTCTCCTCACCATGTGCAGACTTTCTCACTCTTTCTACTATGTCACTTTCTCTGAGGGTCAAATATTGCAGTGCATTGAAATCAGATGAAGTCATAGCGACGCCAAAGGCTACGTTCAGCTTCAATATCACATGCAGAGGGGTGTGAAAAACCAGTGGTATTAAAATGACCTGCAAATGGGGTGGCTGAGAAGATAACTGTAGGGGGGGGATTAAACCTTTGATCAGAATAGTCACTCTCATGACTCTTAATCACACTGGGCTCACTTCTATAGTGAATTAGATCAATTAGATTAGCTCCCTTAAAGACTCCTGTTTGAGAACCAGTGAGCAGTAGGTACTGAATGAGGCAGTTTCCTCAGAGTAAACATAAAGAGCAGCTCACCTCAGTCTTTCAAACTCCACATCGTCCACGAGGAAGTCTCTGGTCTCCACCAGCTTGTTGATCTGCTGCAGCAGCTCCTCTTCTCTCTCTCTGTCCTCCTTGGACTTGTCGTTGTCTGTTCAACAGTCACATGACAACATAAAATACAGCCGTCACTCAGTGTCACGTTTATTAACTATTATATTATAGGGTTGGGGGAGAGTTACTGCCACAAGCAAGGGAGTTCAAGTATCTCGGGGTCTTGTTCATGAGTGAGGGTAGAATGGAGCGTGAGATGGATCAGCGGTTTGATGCCGGATCGTCGTGGTGAAGAGGGAGCTGAGCCAGAAGGAGAAGCTTTCGATTTACTGGTTCATCTACGTCCCAACCCTCACCTATGGTCATGAGCTCTGGGTAGTGACTGGAAGAATGAGATCGGGGATACAAGCGGCTGAAATGAGTTTCCTTCGTGGGGTGTCTGGGCTCAGCCTTAGAGAGAGGGGGAGGAGTCAGACATCTGGAGGGAGCTCGGAGTAGAGCCAGAGGTGTTCGGGCACGTCCCACTGGTAGGAGGCCCCAGGTCAGAACATGCTGGAGGGATTATACATCTCATCTGAGCCAAATACTTGCTTTAATAGTTTTTTAAATAATTTGGATTTGTTAAAAGTTATAAGGAGTTGTTACCATGGATTGAGTGTTATGGTCTGATTGTTTATTGAATTTGTCTGGCTGATGGAGGAGAGGCTGGTGTGTGGCGGTGCGTTTTGACACCCCCGCCTCCTTGGTAAGCAGGTGACTGCAGCACCTAAGCTTTATCAGGTGTGCTCATTAGGGCTGGCTCGGTTTTCCTCCTTTTTTGATAACTCGCTGACGCACCTGCCTCTTCCTCCGCTCCGGTAAGACTGATCCATTTTGTTGTTGGGGAAACTCGTTGGTGAATAAATGATTATACACAAAGGAAAAGTGGAATCTTGGTTGCTTGAGTGAGTCAAACACAACCACATAACCTGTACCTTGGAATCACAAAGAGTAAAACATCAGTGGGATTGCTCCTATAAGCATGTTAGCATTGTTAAGGTTGAGCATTACAGGCTCGCATTTCTGTCTTTGTTTTTGCAGAGTGGTGGGAGGTTTCAGTCAGATCACAGATCCAGGTGTATAAAGGTCTTGAGCTTTGCAGTGTGACTACACCTGTTTGTCAGCTTGTCTCTTGTTAAGCTGACAACACCCACAAAACAATCAAACCTAAAAAAACATGACAGAGGATGAGCTAGCCACTGATGCTAAATCAAAGTAGCAACCACCAGCCAGCCAACCTTCAATATCTGCCCCAGTCATTAATATTTTTTTACACACACACACACTTTATGTCAGAGACACAGTTTATGTCATCCTCGTCACAGCTAGTATTTGCTAATTAGCGCCAGGGGGCAGCAGGAACCCAGAAAAAAGTCCTCTCTATTATTTAGTAGGCTTTGCTATGTATTTATGTTGATGTGGCCTTATGTGATATTTCAATATAATAGCAGTAAAATACCCAATCCTGCTTAGGGCCCCCAAAAAGTCTACAGCCGGCCCTGCTCATGGGTCACTAACTCACCAATTCTGTACTTTATTTTTCTTTTTAGATGCCACAGCAGCCTTCCTCTATCGTAGAGCTGTCAGCTAAACTTAATGTGTAATGTCTGTGTCGTATCTATGTCCTGTATGAGAGTTTCGATTATTATAGAACCTGTTTTGTTCGTGTCTTTGCAGGGCACAACCGCAAAAGAGTTTTGTTTTTCCATTTGGTTTCCCCTGATTGAATAAATGTTATCTTTCTAACGAACAGAGGAAAGTGACGATCCTTGTGAATATTTTTAAGACAGAATATAAGCATCATAGAGCTCTAACCAAAACTGAAGTGGAGGCCTGTTGTTATTTGAAAGTGTTTCATTTATTCCCCTGGTCCTCAGAGTTAATTGCTAATAAGATAATCACCTCGCTGCAATTCGCTGATATTTATTCAAAGATAAAACAGAAAATAGAAACCTATAATGGGAACACCTGAGCAAACTGTCTGCAGGTTAACTAAGATGTGACACTGACTGCTTTTTAATTTACCTGGAATCGAGACGAGTTTCTGCAGCTCAGTCTTCAGCCTTGTGATTTCTCTGCAGAGCTGGATGTCATCCATCCTGAGTGGAAAACAAACAAACTATGAAAAGATATTCTGCATCAAAAAGCAGGTGATGTCAGTGTAAATAAAAGTAAACTACACTTCAAAATCAGTTCTTTTAGTTTTCTCTACAATGGGCTTAAAAACATTAATGGATTTAATATGAAACACTGGACTCAGATGACGGCGAGGTCTGTGAGTTTATGAGCTGGAATAACACCGTCACGCTGCCCTCTGAATGAATCACACCTGACAGGATCAGATCTCATTTCACCGTCTGACTCTGATGCAGATTTCAAAACATCAGGCGCTGTCACACAAGTGTTTGTTTGTGTGTGTGTGTGTGTGTGTGTGTGTGTGTGTGTGGGCTGCTGTTACAGAGAGAGAAATACTCTGAGCTGTTGGTTTAATAAAATAGGTTTCACTTCGGTGTACTTCAGCAGTATGTATTTCAGGATGAGTCATATGCTGCCACTCAGGAGTGTTTATTCACAATGAGAGTTGTCTGGTTTATGTCCCAGCCAGTCTAAATGACGGCGCTGCATCAACTGCATAAAGCAGGATTTCAGGAGTTAAACGAGACGTGCTACCACGCATGGTACGACACAGCAACTCAGTATTAAACGCTGGCATTGTATGTTTCTGCAAAACACAGGTTCTTTACATTTGTATGTTATTTTGTAGCCGATATGTTTAAACTTTACATTTCTCTCTGTGGTGAGGGTGTGGTTAGGTTTAGGTACAAAAACCACGAGGTTATGGTGAGGAAAAGATCATGCTTTGGCTTAAATTGCAAACATTTCGTAGCACAAAAGGTGCTAGAAAAGCAGGGACAGGTTGGTAAAAAACACCTAGGTTTGGTGGCTAAAATGCTGCCGGGAAACACTGCAATGTGTTGGTGAAAAACACCCAAATTTGGTGACTCAAACACCACTGGAATATGCTGCAATATGTTGATGAAAAACATCCAGGTATGGTGGCTCAGATGCTGCTGGGAAATGCCAGACCCTGTGGCTGAAATGCTGCTAGCAAACACCGTTATTTGTCTGTAAAAATGCCCAGCTTTGGTGGCTCAAACGCTGCTGGGAAACGCTGCCATATGTCAGTGAGAAACACCCAGGCCTTGTAGCTCAAACACTGTTGGCAAACGCTGCAATGTGTTGGTGAGAAACACCTAGGTTTGGTGGCTAAAATGCGGCCGGGAAACATTGCAATGTGTTGGTGAAAGACACCCAGGTTTGGTGGCTCAAACACTACTGGGAAATGCTGTGATATGTCAGTGTGAAACACTGCAATGTGTTGGTAAATACACCCAGACCCTGTGGCTCAAACGCCGCTGGGAAACGCTGCCATATGTCGGTGAGAAACACCCAGATCTTGTAGCTCAAACACTGTTGGGAAACACTGAAATGTGTTGGTGAAAAACACCCAAATTTGGTGACTCAAACGCCACTGGAATATGCTGCAATATGTTGATGAGAAACATCCAGGTTTGGTGGCTCAAATGCTGCTGGGACACACTGCAATGTGTTGGTAAAAAACACCCAGACCCTGTGGCTCAAACGTTACTGGGAAACACTGCGATATGTCAGTGAGAAATACCCAGGTATGGTGGCTCAAATGCTGCTGGGAAATGTCTGTGTTATGGTAACTACACCCAGACCCAGTGGCTGAAATGCCGCTGGCAAACGCCATGATTTGTCTGTAAAACCACCCAGGTTCTGTACCACAAATGCCACTGCGAAATACCGCGCTGTGCCACTAAAACACCCAGATATGGTGCCACAAACACAAAAAATGGTGCTGTTCTTTGTTGGCCTCTAACAGTGGTCTGCAGCTTGGCAGGCGTCTTGCCTCAGTGTGAAGCCATCCACCGTTCCCTCCACCTCCTGATGACAAATTCTGCTCATACAGTATACTACGTCACTTAAGAAACGTTGATATGCTGCGTATAAACCGTACAAATGTATCATGTCATGTTCATGGTTTGCAGAAAATCACAATGCCGTTATTTTCATCTTTTTTTATCGTCCCCACAGCGGCTGAGCCTCAGTTATTTTCTGTGTTGCAGTTGGCATGAGACATGTTGTGTGTCATCATTTTGAAAACTCACACAGAGAAAACTAACGAAAAAAAGAACCAAGTAAAAGTCGTGATTCTCAGTTTCTGTGAGCTGTCACGTGACCACGTCATGCAGCTGGGCGCTGCTCTCCGTCTCCGCTCCACCACCTCCATCCTCATGTGTCAAAATAATGAGGAAGGTCTCCACAGAAAAGAATGAAATAATTAAAAGCAGAGATGAGAGAGAAAGAAGTAAAGGCCATCTTCACAGATATGAAAAAAGCCTGTGTGTGTGTGTGTGTGCTGGTAGTCTGCGAGGACCTTAAATAGCTTTGCTGCTGTTTTCTGCACACACACTTTTTGCCATCATGCACATTGCCATCATGCACATGGCTGCTCGCAGTGCTGACGACTGACAGTCACAGTACATCATCTCATGTTCCTGAGGGGCTGCTGACAGATCTGCTGGATCCAGATCCCTGTACAGCAGAGCTCTACTGTGTGTGTGTGTGTGTGTGTGTGTGTGTGTGTGTGTGTGTGCGCGCGCGCAGAGGACCAACATGATGGAAGAGGAACACGTGTTATCATCTGATGTCTTCATGTCTTCATTCACACTAAAGTTGTTTCTTTTGTTTGTGTCTCTAGTATTTAAAGTGAACATGAGAAGTCATATTGAAGAAGCAGCTCTCACATGTATCTCAGCTCTGATTCTCTCCGTACGAGGATGTCTCTTATGCGCTCGATTTTGCACAGCTCTCCTTCGATATCCTCGATCGTAATTGTGGAGTCAGCCATGGAAACGACATCCTCTGCTGAAAGACAAGAACAAAACACATTGATGTGGTGATGATCATGGCATTAGGAGTGTTTTAGCGCCAAAGACTTTATGTCCGACTGCCATCATGACACAAATGACAAAGGCATGAAAATGAAGAACTACAGACACAAAACCCAGGTGAGATTGAGGCTGGTAGTTTTTCTACCATCCAACATTACCGCAGCTGATTTACACAATCACTGGAATATCAACTGTTTTCAGCATGATGGCCAGAGGAAAATGACGGATCTATACGTTCCTGCAAACCATGGATACATTACATTGGCAGGTTTCATACATATCATATTGGCATATGTGAAATGACGTAGTATATGAGCTGACATCATCATCAGGAGGTGGAGGGGATGATGGCTTGCATGACACTGTAGGTGAGATGCTTGCAAAGCTGCAGACCACTGTTCAGTGCGTTCTAGCGACCCATAGCTGTTTTTCCTGCATTTTTTAGCCCCTAAAAGACGGTGTTTTTTCAGGGACCCCAACTGTTTTTCCTGCAGCTTTTTAAGCCCCAAATGTAGATGTTTAAGTGACACGTTGTTTTTGTTGCAGCTTTTCAGCCCCCAAACACAAGTACTTTTTAGGGAGCTGTTGCTGATTTTCCTGTGGCTTTTTCGCCCCCATAGTCGATGCTTTTTTCCTGCAGCTTTTTAAGCCTCAAATGTAGATGTTTAAGTCACCCATCGTTGTTTTTCTTGCAGCTTTTCAGCCCCCAAAAGTGGGTGTTTTATAGCGACCTGTCGTTGTTTTTCTTGCCGCTTTTCAGCCCCCAAAAGTGGGTGTTTTATAGCAACCTGTCGCCGTTTATCATGCAGGTTTTTAGCCCCCAAAATGGATGTTTTTTATGGACCCATCGCTGTTTTTCCTGCGGCTTTTCAGCCCCCAAAAGTGGCCGCTGTTTTAGGGGGCTGTTGCTTTTTTTCCTTTGGGTTTTTAGCCCCAAAAGGGGGTGTTTTCAAGTGACCTGTCACTGTTTTTCCTGTGGCTATTTAGCCCCCAAAAGTGGATGTTTTCTGTGGCCCATTGCGTTTTTTTTACCTGCAGCTTTTAGCCCCCAAAAGTGGGTGTTGTTTTAGGGGGCTGTTGCTTTTTTTTCCTTTGGGTTTTTAGCCCCTAAATGGGGGTGTTTTCAAGTGACCTGTCACTGTTTTTCCTGCAGCTATTTAGCCCCCAATAGTGGATGTTTTCTCGCAACCTGTTGCAGTTTTTTCCTGCAGCTTTTAGCCCCCATAAGTGGGTATTTTTAGGAACCTGTCACTGTTTTTCTAGCTTGGATAGTGCCACAAAAAACACCTGTTTTTTACTGAGACCTTGCTACATTTCCAGCAAGGATATTCTCACAAAACCAGATATTTCAAGCCAAAACATCATGTTTTCCTAATTATAGCCAAGTGTTTTTTGTGCCTAAACTTAACCACATGTTAACCACAGTGTTGTTGAAATGTAAAGTTTAAACGTATTTGCAATATAATAACGTGCAAATGTAATGTATCCATGATTTGCAGAAATGTGCAATGCTGGTGATCAATTTGCTGTTTTCCTGTTACCAAATTAAAACCATCAGAATGTTGCAGTTTATTTTACAATCATGTTTGGACTAAAGCTGCCCTCAGCAGAGCAAAAATAAAATATAAAGTGTTATCTACTTTCACAAAGAAGAGGCTGTGTCTGTAATAAACTATGTTACAGGAGACATTTTGACGTTTAACTGCAGGGAAAGCAGAAGCTTAACTAATAACCTGATTAACAGCAGCAATCTAAAAAGTTTGATTGGTATTAAACATAATTCACGGTGCAGCTTCATCACTGAAGAGCTTTTGTTTCAGCTCCGCTCTGAACAAATGAGGAGAAACTTGATCTGCTCTATACTCAGATTTAAATTCCCACTGAGGCGTACGGCTTTACCACAGTCTGCTTTTTCATTCATCAAACGTTCAGATATGCTTCCAAGTTTAAAACTTTCACAGACTCGTGTTCCTATGGCGCCAAAATATGGACATTTAACAACCAGTCATGCTGATGTTAACTTGACTGTGATTCAGGTTTTTAATTGTTGAACTGTAATTTATGAATGGATGTGTTTGGTATTACTGTGCTTGTAGATGTGTCTGACTCTGTAACAGTGGTGCAGGTAAATGAATGTTTACCTGCTCAGGGACTGCAGATGGAAATCAGCTGACAGCTCAGTCTGGCATAAATCATCTCTGCTTATTTTGAGATTATGTAATAGAGATTAAAGTGATCTGTTAAACTGATCCAGTTGCAGGCTCTGGTAGTGTGCATGCTGGCTCACTGAACACTTAGAGGAGGAACTGAGAGATCATTAACGCCATCAGTCACACCTGTGTTTCTGCTGCAGTGTGTTGCTGTGAAGAAGGTGTGCTGTTTCTCTGAGCACAGAGCGGTTCAGAGCTCTCACTGCTCACAGATTGCTGAACGCTTAATATTTAAGCAGCCAGTTAGCTTAGCTTAGCATAAAGACTGGAAACAGGTGGAAACAGCTAGTGCTAAACATCTTCCTTAGCTTAATACCACAGTCCAAACACGAACACTAGACAAGGCAAGAGTCCTCCTTATCATTCAGTGAATACACACTGGAGCAGGCTAACGAGTGTCCCCAGGTGTACGTCATTAACCCTCAGCACACTGAGGAGGTTTCAGGGCACTGTGATAATGCTACTTATTATTAAAGAGATTTTTCAAATGGTTTTATGTTCTCAGCAATGTTTCCCCAGGTCAAATGTTCAGTGTGTGTTTCCTTTGGTCAATATGTTGATGTTATCCAACGTCTAGCTAGTTTAGATGCAAAATCTTGCCCGAGGGTCCATCGTCATAATGTGCACTGGGGCCCGTCCTAACTACCATACGCCACTGGCCAGGCTAGCTTTCTCCTCTGGTCTCCAGTCTTTATGCTAAGCTAAGCTAACAAGTTGTTGGCTGTAGCATCATATTAACATGATGGATGTATCGATCCTCTCATCAGTGTCCGGGAAACAGGATTATTTGTTTTCTGAGATGACAGAGAGGATGATACCACCATCATGCCTGTGTGCTAAACATGAAGCTACAGCCAACTGGCTAGCTTAGCTTAGCTTAGCTTAGCTTAGCTTAGCTTAGCATAAAGACCAGAGAAGTATTGAACTATTGTTTTAAATAGTTTTTTATGTGATAAATTCTGCTTTCTGTCACATTATTCTGACTCTATTGGCCTAAATATTTGTCAATTCAGACTAAAGTGGTATTAAAACATACTGAAACTCAATTTTAGTGATTCTGTTACTGCTCATATTTGTATTGCACCTTAAGTGGAAAATTGCTTAATTGGAGTCATTCAATTCGCTCATTAAGCCCAATAAACCACCTGTATTTGTAACCAAGGCTCTCAAGAGACTTCTGAGACACATGAAGGAAAACTTGATGTCTAAGAAATCACATGAATTCATGAATGAAAGTCAAACCTGCAGGGATCGTTATTCTAATCATTAAAACTGGATCACAGTCACCACCCTGCTACGATCTGATCACAGCTCTGTAATTCTTCACTGAATAGCTGCACTGCCCCCCCCCCTGCAGCCTCCTCCTCCTAACCAGGAGCGATGACTCATCCAGCAGAGTCAGATCGGCTTTTAATTACCTGACCTTGTGTGAAAAGACATTACAATCATACACCCTGGATCACCGGGGATATCACAGCTGCACAAACACTCAGCCTGCTCAAAGCTGCACATTCATCTGGTGATTCTACAACTTAGTGTATTCTCACGTGTGTTATCACATGCACGCACACACATCAACTACCAGCTGGCGATTTGATGTTTTATTGTTTAAACAGGCATCTTGTGTTCCTTTTATTTTAATTATTTTGTTCAAGCACTCAAACAGGCCCGATAAATTCAGTCAAACTTATTTCAATATTAAGTAATAATATTCCTTTTTTTACAGCAGGTTTGTGTGAAGACACATTTTTATTGTTTACTGATTACATCTTCTTTTTACTCCTTAAAGCTTGAACATCATTTCAGTAGAATACAGTTGTAGTAACACTGTCACGCCCTGAAGGCGCACTTTAAGTCAGTGATGTGGAACATAGGCTCTAATGGAAAGCAATTAAATAAAATGACTGTGTGCCTGTGTGTGTTCTTGTGGTATAATGTCACACACATGATAGAAAAGAAGCAAGTTTGATGGGAATAACAGAGGACCAAGAGCTGAGCCTTGAGGAACGCCAAAAACAAAATCTCACAATGAAGCTAAATATGTAAGGTGAATTATCTTATTGTTTCTGAGGAATTTTCTGGAGGAAAAAAATTTGCAATTTGTTCAGAATTATGTGTAAAATATCCTCAAGCAAGGATTTGGGGGGAAAAAAAGTGTTCATTTTTAATTTATTACAGGAATCTTAATTCTTGCCGAATTTTATGCTTGCCCAGATCAATTTTACATCATGTTCAGCCAACTCACTGCGCACTGACAGTCTTTAGATCAAGCAATCCATTAAAATTATACCTGAAATGATTCAACCTTTAACAGATTTGATGACTGACCGAAAAATAATCTGCAACTATTCTGATAATCAATTAACTGTTTCCGTCTCCCTCTTTAAATTCAATTCACTAAAATAAAAGTTCAATGAAATCGCAGAGGTTTCCCCTTCTTCAGTCGCCCCCTGACCGTGGGGAGGGGCCTGACTGATGGAGGCCACCACCTGCTGCTCCTTTACCCATATAGAGCAACCCTGAGACCTGATTGAAGGGGGTAAGTTTGTGAGGTTGAAGGTGTGCGTGTGTGTATGTATTCATCAAATCAAATGGTTTTGTCTTATTTTCCCACCACACGTTTGTTTTAATCCCCTTTCAGTAAGTTTTAAAGCAAGAAACGCTAAAAACATTCTCGAGTTACAGCCTCTAAAATGTTAGATGGCTTTCTTTGACTCCTGTGACTGTAAACTGAGTATCTGAAGATTCTGGACTATTGGTTGGACAAAAGTGAATATTTTATGACGTCACCTTGGATGTGAGGAAGTTGTGACGTGCATTTTTCATTATTTTCTGACATTTTTCAGACAAGTAGTTGCCACCATTTTTTTTATAATTATCATCAAGTTACATTTAAGGAATCTTATTGGAAACTTTGGACAGTGGCGTCCCTAGAAATGTTCATCAGGGTGGCCAGATGCGTCGACTGAAAACCTAAAGCTGTAACTGAATGTCAGGAATTCTATTCTGCTGTTGATACAGACTGGTTGAAACTCTGTCAAAATGAGAATTAAGGAATCCCACACTGATACACTCTGGTTTCTTAATTTACAGTTAATATTAATAATTATCTGATGTGCACACACTAACACTGGTAAGTTAACATTTTCACTTCCCCAACAGTCCTCATTTCAATTCACTGTTCTTCAGATAATCTGGTTGTCCTTTTCCCTAAAAAGACAAACAAACAGCTTTAATTTGAAGGAGTTCATTGATTGTAAGCAGAAGAGCCATTTTATTTAAATCTGTCCGGAGCCACAAAATATCCTTGAGCCTTATAATAAAGGTAACACGGCCTTATTAAGTCTAAATTAGCTATCAAGATTACTAATTCGTGTATTTGTATTATTTGTATTAAAACAAACTTTTATTTGCATTCTGGAGCATATAGGCCTGTCAGAAAACTGTAAACTACTAAATAAACACTAGAGCAGCACTAGACACATTCAGTTTTCAAATAAGGTGTTATAAAATACATACGTTATGGAAATACGATTAATTGGAATACATTCAGAAGAAGTGTAAGATTTATTACTGATGTCCCTTATAAATTAAAAAGTAAAGACCACTAACTTGTGAGGGAAATGATTTTATTCTTCTTTATTTTTGGGCTGCTGGAAATAGAAATTACAAGGATTGCTCCTGATGCTGAGGACATGTCTGACGGCATAATGACACACAACTCAAGTATTTTTACTGTATCAGTATCTAAAGATATTCCAAAGTATAAGTCCCTCAGCTCTACCTTGAAATTACTTAAAATCTTTAACTTGATGTGCCACTAAAAAAGCATCATTACTACATGAAAGATACAATCCTGCACCTCCACATACAGAGATGAAGAAACACAGGAGGTCTGTCTGAGCCCCTCAGGATGTGTAATATCCTGCTGACAGGTAACTTTAACATGCTCACTGATGATCTGCAGCACCTGGAGCTTTAATTCCCTCTGCTCAAAGTTGGTGCAGTGAACGCATCCCTTTCTTTCACTGATTTCTTCATAGTAACATTATTAAAGCATGCTTCCTGCTAAAAACTCACTTGATTTCTCCGTCGCTTCATCCACCTGCGTCTTCTCCAGAGAGCCGTACTGTTTAGAGGGTCTTCTCTCCTTTTCCATGTTGTTCAGACACACTCCTCTCCTCACACACTCTGCGCAGAGGAAAATAAAGACAGTATTTGTGCAGCCCGGAGGTTAATAAGCGGTGCTGGAGTCCGTGCAGCACTGCTGTAAGGTGTGAATGAAATAACGGGAGGAGAGCTGATGAACAGATGCTGAGCTGACTCCTACAGAGGTGATGTGAGGAGCAGGAGGAGCTGAGCTGCAGGGCGCCACCTGCTGGCAGAGCCGCTGTATGACACACAGCAGCCCGCTGATGAGTGTTGTCACACTTTTTACTCTTCAGTGTGAATTGTTCATCAAAACATCTTTAAACAGTCGCTCCTACATTAAATTAAAGATTAAGGACTCAGGTTGAAATGAGCCTCCCTGACATTTGTTTAAATGTCAAACAGCCTGTGTTGAAGTTTGTAACTGTTTATACATTGTTTTCTAATGAGGACCTACAGCAGCATAGTGACCACTGGAAGACAATAAATGTATGGAGTTAAATCAGGGTCCGAAACATGAAATAAAAGGATTAAATTAACAGACAGCTGTTGTTTTAACAGCCGGCTGCGCTCTCACCACTTCAGCTCTCTCCACAGGAGAATCGAGCCGTCTTTCACCATGAATTTTCCATCCCGCCTGATTGAGTTCAGCTGTTTAACGACATACTGGGGACGACTTGAATTCATGTTTCATGCAGCCGGGCCCTCAAGGGTCCCGCAAGAAGACCTGGAACAATGACTTGGCCACACCTCTGGATCATTACATGACAGAAGAAGAATATTAAGAGATGCAGAGTCAAACCTGGTGAGCAAAGAGTCTGAAGGTATTTCTCCCACGTACATGATTTGAAACTAAAGCAAACATTTATTTTGGCTGAATGTAAGAATGTTTATTTACTGCAAATACTCAAGAGGAACAAATGCTGCCAGATGTTTCTGCTCTACAGAGGTGGAGATTCTTTTAGTATCATTAGTTTACTCTTCACAGCACTCAGATCTGCAGACTTTCTAACACAGTAGAGGCATACAGAAACATTTGGACAGAAGAAAATTACATTAGGCAGCCTTTTCTATCTGTATTCATGTGACATGATTGCATAAAATTGCAGTATATGTAATCTACATTTGGCACCACGCTCTGCAGTGTTATCTAACAGGTAATAATGAACCATTGATAAGAGTGACTCTGAAATACAGGTTAAACAAACACATCATCTCACGCGTGCGTAACAAGAACCTTACCACCCGGTTTGACTGCAGTTAAACACACACGACTGATCAACTTCCATCTCATTTAATCGTTTTATCAGTTCACACATTACAAAATAAGGCACACAGACACAGAGAACGACAGCGTTGACCTTAGCAGCAGATAAACAGACTGTTGGGGTGTGTTCAAACAAGGAGCCAGTTTAGTTTGGCCTCACCTTGTGCACACGTCTTGTGTTTACACTCCCAGAAAGAGGCTTCAGTGTTTCTGTTGTCAGGATGCCTGAGCCGCTGAACCTGCCAGGTGGTGCCGAGTCTTCTGCCCACCCATAATCCTGCTGCCTTGTTTGCTCTATAAAGGAATGATTGCTTATGCTAATGTTCATTTGTGAAGGCTCAGGTGGCCCAGAGACGAATCCCCGAAAATGGCAAGACAGACGAGACGCCACAAGATTTCATTCTGATGGGAAAATTATGAGCAGTGATGAGTTTGAAGTCAACACTTTGCTTTTATTAAACCTGTCAGAGTAAATCAATTATCCTGCTTTGAGCTGAGCTACCTGCAACCAAACAGCAGAATAATGTTTGCACTGTATGTTTCTGCAAACCATGGATATGTAACATTTGCACGTTATTATGCTGCGGAAACATTGAAGCTTTTCAGCAGTGCTGAGGTTAATACGTGATTAGGTTTAGGAACAAAAAACAACTGGTTGTGGTTAGGAAAGAGATAATGTTTGAATTAGAATACCTGGTTTCTTTGCAGGAAAAGCAGCAATGTCTTGGTAAAAAAACGACCCCTTGCCATGCCACTGTTCCAGCAGGAAATGCAGCAACATCTCGTAGAAAATGACTGCTTTTCATGCCATCATCTCAGTGGGAAATGCAGTAATGTCTCATTTAAAAACAACTGCTTTTTGTGCCACTATTCCGGCGAAAAATTCAGTGATCTATCCCTAAAAATCAACTGATTTTCATGCCACTATCACAGCAGGAAATACAGCAATGTCTTTGTGTTTTTCTGAGACATCACTGCATTTCCTGCTGTGATGTGGTAGAAAAAGTAGTTAATTTTTACAACCACTTTTTGTACCACTATTCAGACAGGAAATGCAGTGATGTCTCTGTAAAGAACAACAGCTTTTTATACCACTATCTTGGCGCGAAAAGCGGTGATGTCTCGGTCAAAAACAACCCCTTTTTGTACCACGTTTCCAGCAGGAAATGCAGTGATTTCTACTAATAAGCAATTGGTTTTCATGCCACTAATCCAGTGGTAACTGCAGTGATGTCTGCTTTTTGTGCCACTATCCCAGCAGGAAATGCAGCGATGTCTTTGTTTTTTACCCAGACATTTCCTGCTAGGATAGTGGCACAAAAAGCAGTTGATTTTTACAACCGCTTTTCATGCCACTATTCCGGTGGGAAATGCAGTGATTTCTCCTTAATAAGCAACTGGTTTTCATGCCACTATTCCGGTGGGAAATGCAGTGATTTCTCCTTAATAAGCAACTGGTTTTCATGCCACTAATCCAGTGGTAACTGCAGTGATATCTCTGTAAAAAGCAGCTGCTGTTTATGCCACTATCCTGGTGGGAAATACAGCGATGTCGTCAAAAACAACTTCTTTTTGTGCCACTATTCCAGCAGGGGACGCAGCAATGCCTCTGTAAAAAACAACTGCTTTTGTTGCCAATATTCTGACAGGACACACAGCGATGTCTCAGTAAAAAAGAACTGCTTTTTGTACCACTATCCCAGCAGGAAATGCAGCGATGTCTTTGTTTCTTACCGAGACATCGCTGCATTTCCTGCTGAGATAGTGGCACAAAAAGCAGTTGATTTTTTTTTTCAACCACTTTTCATGCCACTATCCTTGCGGGAAATGCAGCGATGTCTCGGTAAGAAACAACCACTTTTCGTGCCACAATCCTGGTGGAAAACGCAACAATGTTTCTGTAGAAAGCAACTGCTTTTCATGCCACTATCCCAGCAGGAAACGCAGTGATGTCTCAGTAAAAAACAGCCGCCTAATGTGCAGCAATGCCCTCTGGAAAAACAGTGACAGGTTGCTACAAACCCCCGTGTCTGGTTCCTAAAAAGCTGCAGCAATGACTCGCTAAAACACATTTGTTTTGTTGTTTGATGGTCTTAACAGTGGTCTGCAGCTTGGTAGACGTTAAGGTGAGCTGCCATCCACCATCCCCTCCAGCTGCCATGACAAAGTCAGTTCATAAATTACATCACTTTAGAAACGTTGAAATGATTCATGTGAAACGTGCAAATGTAACGTATTCATGGTCGGTGCGCCGGTACCTGATGATGAAGAGTGACATGTCTGTGACTGAGAGCATAAACCCTCTGATTTCCACAGTGACAGAAATGACTCTATGATGTGATTTTGTGAAGGTAACACTCTCTGTCTGCTGCAGTCTTTGAAGCGTCCTTCACACCAGAGTTCAGCGGTTTATCCTCCTTCCATAGTTGTTGTTGTTGCTTCTGTCGTCCTCCATCGCTTTCTCCAGCCAGTCTCTGTCCTGTTCAGACTCAGAGTCACTGGCTTCACTTGCATCAGCCGCCAAAAGGCGAGAGTAGTTAATCCTGCGTTGGCGAGGTGCTTTCCACTGGAGCAGAGGCAGACACACACACCACATCATCACACCCACCGCCGCTCCTCTGAACAGCCACGTCAGCCCAAACCTCTGCGCCACAAACCCTCCGGCGAAGCTCCCCAGCCCGCTGCCCAGGTGTAGAGACAGTGAGCTGTAGACCCTCCTCACGCTCCTCTCAGCCCCCGGCGTGGCCACGTCCTCACACTGCAGCCTCACGGCCCACCAGAGGGCTCCGCTGCTGAAACAGCTGAACACCTGAGCAGGTAGCG